AAGCCGAATGGCAGCAGAATAGAAGCCGAATGGAAGCCGAATGGCAGCAGAATAGAAGCCGAATGGAAGCGGAATGGAAGCCGAATGGAAGCGGAATGAAAGCCGAATGGCAGCCGAATAGAAGCCGAATAGAAGCCGAATGGAAGCAGAATAGAAGCCGAATGGAAGCGGAATGGAAGCCGAATGGAAGCAGAATAGAAGCCGAATGGCAGCCGAATGGCAGCAGAATAGAAGCCGAATGGAAGCCGAATGGCAGCAGAATAGAAGCCGAATGGAAGCGGAATGGAAGCGGAATGGAAGCCGAATCACAGCCAAATTTTAGCTGAATAGCATATGGCAGCCTTATGGCAACCGAATGGCAGCCCTCTTCCCTGCAACTTCCAGCAAAATTCCCTCCAACTTCCAGCCACTGGAGTCATCCCTGTATCAATTTTTTTTTACTCTGGATTCAACCATTTCACTGAATTACAGGGTCTGACAAGGAGATGGCGCTCTTTAGATCTTATTGTCCACAAATCCTGACAGAAAGAATATTTTACAAAGGTTGATGTTTAAAAAAGGAATTGTAGAGGACCAGCCAAGGACCAGCCAAGGGTCCATCAAGGAAAGTAGGGAAATTTTGAATGGCTACGACTGTAGAGCTGAATCTTTTTGTTTTGTCTGTTTTTTCCACCTCAGATCTGGCGAGTGGTGGAGAGCCATGCTAATCAGTACCGGCAAAGAAGGCTACATTCCCAGTAATTATGTGGCCAAAGACACTCTGGAGACAGAGGAGTGAGTTCACAGGCTGACATGTTCAACATAAGGATGGGCGGTTTCTGATGTTGGATAACTGATCTCATCCATGTTGTTCAGCTGGTTCTTTAAGGGCGTGAGCAGAAAGGATGCTGAGAGGCAGCTGCTGGCCCCAGGAAATCGAATCGGATCCTTCATGATCCGAGACAGTGAGACCACCAAAGGTGAGACAAACGAGCTGTAAAGGTGAACTGCTTGAAGGCGGAAGAGCTAAAAGCCTTCCAGCCGTCCTGATGGTCAGAAGGGCTCATATATTCCCTTTTTGTCCCAATGATTACTTCATTCCGATTAGTCTCAGGAGAAAAAAAAGAAAAATCATCATATTCAAATGACTGGAACAGATCAAATGGAATAGATTAGAATTTATCTTAACTGTCAATATCACAAATACAGAGCAACGAAATGAACTCTCTGCATTTAACGCCTCCTCTTGGTCAGGGGGGATTTACCATTAGGCAATACTAGGCAGTTGCCTAGGGCCCAAGTTCCTGGAGGGCCCCATAAAACTCCTTTTACATGTATGGTTAATACAACTATTCCTTATTTGTGCACATTAATTATGTTTTTGATAAAAATCCATTGGCTAAAATGCCATCAGAACAGTTATAAAGTTTGTTTTTGGAAACACAGGAAGGAGCAATCAGCTAAGTGAGCTTAGTGCTTGGAAAAATCTTTCATTCCTTTAGAGACAGCATGAAAAGTCAGCTGAGTACAAAACATAGAGAGGAAAACAAGAAGAAAAGGGACAAAAAGGGAAGAAACCAAACCGAGAACAAATAATGTTTGTCTATTCTATTAAAAATTCTAAATCTGTATAATGGGTTTGTTTTATTTAGTCTTTTCAATTC